CAATATAGCTAAAGCAATCCTTAGCAGTAAGAGTGAAGCAGGTGGCATCACTATAACAGACCTTAAACTATACTACAGAGCAATAGTAACAAAAAGCATGATATTGGTACCAAAATAGACTGGTAGAGCAATGGTACAGAATAGAAGGCACAAGGACTAACCCACAAAATTACAATTATTTTATATTATACAAAGGTGCCAAAAACATACATTGGAGAAAATATAGCCTCTTCAACAAATGGTACTGAGAAAACTGGAAATCCATATGCAACAAAATGAAATTAAACCCCTATCTCTCACCATGCACAAAACTCAACTCAAAGTTGATCAAGGACCTAGGAATTAAACCAGAAACCCTGCATTTAATAGAAGAAAAAGTAGTCCCTAATCTCCATAATGTCAGATTAGGCCCCAACTTCCTTAATAAAAGTCTTACAGCACAAGAATTAAAATCAAGAATCAATAAACAAATAGATTCAAACTAAAAAGTTTCTTCTCAGCAAAAGAAACAATCTGTGAAGTGAATAAAGAATCTACAGCTTGGGCAAAATTTTTACCCCTTACACATCAGATAGAGCACTCATCTCTAGGGTATATAAAGAACTCAAATAGCTAAGCCTGAAAAAAACAAATAACTCAATCAACAAATGGGCCAAGGACATGAACAGACACTTCTCAGAGGATGATAAAAAATCAATCAACAAATATATGAAAAAAATGCTCATCATCTTTAGCAATTAGAGAAATGCAAATCAAAACTGCTCTAAAATTTCATCTCACTCCAGTCAGAATTGCAGCTACTAAGAATACAAACAACAATAAGTGTTGGTGAGGATAGGGGGAAAAGGCACACTCATACATTGCTAGTGGGACTGCAAACTGGTGCAGCCACTATGGAAAGTAGTATGGAGATTCCTTGGAACCACCATTTGACCCTGCTATCCCTCTCCTCGGTCTACACCCAAAGGACTTAAAAACAGCTTTCTACAGGGACACAGCCACATCAATGTTTATAGTAGCACAATTCATAATAGCTAAACTGTGGAACCAACCTAGATGTCCTTCAGTAGATGAATGGATTAAAATAATGGTATGTATACACAATGAAATATTACTCAGCAATAAAAGTAAATAGAATTATGGTATTTGCAGGTAAATGGATGGAGTTGGAGACGATAATGCTAAGTGAAGTTAGCCAATCATCAAAAATCAAATGCCAAATGTTTTCTCTGATAAAAGGAGGCTGATTCATACTTGGGTAGGGACAGGGAGAATGGGAGGAATAGACTGAACTCTCTAGATAGGGTAAGGGGTGGGAAGGGATGGGAGGGGGCATGCTGTTAGAAATGATGGTGAAATGAGATGGACATCATTATCCAAACTACATGTATGAAGACACAAATGGTGTGAATATACTTTGCATATAATCAGAG